TTCCATACAGCAAATATAGTTGACCTATTGCATATAGTATTAGAAAAAAAAGACCAAAACTCAAAAACTTAACAATAACCACTGAACCATGAAAATGAGGTCAAGGTCAGATGACACCTGCCAGTTGAACATGTACACCTTACAATCCTTCCGTACACAAAATATACTAGACCTATTGTTTATAGTATCTGAGAGACTGATCCATGAAATGAGGTTGAGGTCAAGTGAAAACTGTCTGAAGGGCACAAGGACCTTGCAAGGTACGCACATACCAAATATAGTTATCCTATTACTCATAATAAAGAGAGAAATTAACATTCCAAAAAATCTTAACTTTTTTTTTCAAGTAGTCACTGAACCATGAAAATGAGGTCAAGGACAATGGACATGTGACAGACGGAAACTTCGTAACATAAGGCATCTATATACAAAGTATGAAGCATCCAGGTCTTCCACCCTCTAAAATATAAAGCTTCTTAAGAAGTTAGTTAAAGCTGCCGCCGCTGCCGGATCACTATCCTTATGTCGAGCTTTCTGCTACAAAATTTGCAGGGTTGACAAAAATTAACAGTCTGAATCAAATCACTCATAATGTTAAAGACCCTACTTTTGTTGCAGCTATTACAGGCATTTACCTTTTTTATCATATAATCAACTAACTGACAACAAACACACAGAGGAAATAAAGGAACATAAAGGGACATATCTCAAGAAAAGATATGATAATAAAAACAACTCTGAACACTTCAATGGATCACTGCATGTTATCTAAGGTTAGTCATCCTCAGTCCTTGCATTTTTAGCCCCACCTTCAACTTTTTAGAATCATCTCGACTTTCTCAGCACCAATCATACATATTGAGATTATACGGGAGAAGTTTGGAAAATAACTCTGAAAATAATTTTGAGTGGGTATTTACCATAAATTAAGATACATAAACATACATTCATATGTTTAATTAAAAGTGCCATCATTGAAAGTTTATCTGTATGGACACCTGGGATTTTCTAGATGATTTGAACAGTCAAAATGTTAACATCACAGATTATGATATTACTTCAAGAGAAATTATGAAAAACTAATTTCATTTATATGATGACTGTAGACCTAAAGTGAAGAACAATAAAAAAATCACTGATACAGTTGTGTAAACTATTTTCAAAACATTATTCACAAGTTTTAAATAACACAGATTAATCTAATTATGTTTCCTAAGAATGCATATATAAAACTTCACTTAATTTGCTTTTTATAAACACATTAATGATTCAAAGAATTATCTCTCTTCACACAGGTCTAACCTTTTAATAATTTAAAAGAAAATTTGTTTAAAAACAATGATGTGGAAGGATCATCTGATCTGTTTCTATCTGGTCCTAGTTGGGGCTATTCCATTAAAATGCATGTGGGAGGGTAGGAAGGGACTTTTAAAATATCCCTACAATGAAGAACCATTTTTTAGATAATTTTGCATAATGGTAATAGACAAATACTGAAAAAAAAACCATATGATCCACATTCAATAATTAAACTTCCCTTCCTACCCACCCACATACATTTTAATGGAATAGCCCTTGAGAAATTAAAAAAGTAGGTATTTACAGCAAAACATCAAAACATTTACGACTGGAAGAACATTACTTCTGTGGATTCTTTTATTTTCGTGGATACCAAATTTCATAGATTAAGGAAAACTTATATTGTTGAGGATCTTCTCATTTCCTGTATTTGCAAAAGTCTGTATACAAGCCTTTAGAAAATTTGTACTTCCTTGAACATTTAAATTCGTGATTTACCTTTGCCAACATAATCCAAGAAAATTTGTATTCCTCAAAAAATAAGGAATTCATGGCATTTGTAAATGTTCTAAGGAGGGCAATATTCATAATTCTCAAGGGCAATATTCATAATTTTCAAGGGCAATAATCATAATTCTCAACATTGATATCCTTTTATTGCATGGCAAAACTTTCATAATGATAAATAAAATGCTCCGCTGGGGCACAGCTTGATACGACCGCAGAGGTCGAACCCTGAACAGTTTGGGCAAGTATGGACACAACATTCAAGCTTGATACAGCACTGAATTTGGATTGTATTTAAATATTTGACACAGCATAGGTTTCTGACACAGAATGAAAGTGGTCTAGGAACTAAAAATTTTTTTTAATATACCTATTCAAACCATATCATTATTATTTAAAATTGAGAATGGAAATGGGGAATGTGTCAAAGAGACAACAACCCGACCATTGAACAGACAACAGCAGAAGGTCACCAACAGGTCTTCAATGCAGCGAGAAATTCCCGCACCCGGAGGCATCCTTCAGCTGGCCCCTAAACAAATATATATACTAGTTCAGTGATAATGAACGCCATACTAAACTCCAAATTGTACACAAGAAACTAAAATTAAAAATAATACAAGACTAACAAAGGCTAGAGGCTCCTGACTTGGAACAGGCGCAAAAATGCGGCGGGGTTAAACATGTTTATGAGATCTCAACCCTCCCCCTATACCTCTAGCCAATGTAGAAAAGTAAACGCATAACAATACGCACATTAAAATTCAGTTCAAGAGAAGTCTGAGTCTGATGTCAGAAGATGTAACCAAAGAAAATAAACAAAATGAAAATAATATATAAATAACAACAGACTACTAGCAGTTAACTGACATGCCAGCTCCAGACTTCAATTAAACTGATTGAAAGATTATGTCTTCATCATATGAATATCAGGCACAATCCTTCCCGTTAGGGGTTTAGTATGCCTTTATATATAAATCAGAAATAACCAATTTAAAATGGGTAATTTTAAAGAAAAAAAAGGAAAAAAAAAATCCCCCCCCCAAATTTGTTGAACCCCTTTATGATTCATCACCCCCAAACTCAATCCCAGCCTTCCCTTTGTGGTATGGTACCTTGCAGTACAATTTCAGAGATCCATACACTTGAACACAAGTTATTGTCTGGAAACTAGAAAAATGCTTGTTTTTTTGCCCTTTTATGGCCCCTAATTCCTAAAATTTTGAGGAATTACCCCCAAAATCAATCCCAGCCTTCCCTTTGTGGTATGGTACCTTGCAGTACAATTTCAGAGAGATCCTTACACTTGAACACAAGTTATTGTCTGGAAACTAGAAAAATGCTTATTTTGGCCCCTAATTCCTAAACTTTTTGGGCAATTACCCCCAAACTCAATTCCAGCTTTCCCTTTGTGATATGGAACCTTGTAGTACAATTTCATAAAGATCCATACACTTGAACACAAGTTATTGTCTGGAAACTAGAAAAATGCTTATTTTTGGCGCCTTTTTGGCCCCTAATTCCTAAACTTTTTGGGCAATTACCCCCAAACTCAATCCCAGCTTTCCCTTTGTGATATGGAACCTTGTAGTACAATTTCATAAAGATCCATACACTTACACACAAGTTATTGTCATGAAACTAGAAAAATGCTTGTTTTTTGCCCCTTTTTGGCCCCTTATTCCTAAAATTTTGAGAGAATTACCCCCAAACTCAATCCCAGCCTTCCCCTTGTGGTATGGTACCTTGCAGTACAATTTCAGAGAGATCCTTACACTTGAACACAAGTTATATATTGTCTGGAAACTAGAAAAATGTTTATTTTTGGTCCCTTTTTGGCCCCTTTTTTCCTAAACTTTTTGGGCAATTACCCCCAAACTCAATTCCAGCTTTCCCTTTGTGATATGGAACCTTGTAGTACAATTTCATAAAGATCCATACACTTACACACAAGTTATTGTCATGAAACTAGAAAAATGCTTGTTTTTTGCCCCTTTTTGGCCCCTTATTCCTAAAATTTTGAGAGAATTACCCCCAAACTCAATCCCAGCCTTCCCTTTGTGGTATGGTACCTTGCAATACACAATTTCAGAGAGATCCTTACACTTGAACACAAGTTATATATTGTCTGGAAACTAGAAAAATGCTTATTTTTGGTCCCTTTTTGGCCCCTTATTCCTAAACTTTTCGGGGAATTACCCCCAAACTCAATTCCAGCTTTCCCTTTGTGATATGGAACCTTGTAGTAAAATTTCATAAAGATCCATATACTTACACACAAGTTATTGTCATGAAAGTAGAAAAATGCTTGTTTTTTGCCCCTTTTTGGCCCCTTATTCCTAAACTTTTCGGGGAATTACCCCCAAACTCAATTCCAGCTTTCCCTTTGTGATATGGAACCTTGTAGTAAAATTTCATAAAGATCCATATACTTACACACAAGTTATTGTCATGAAAGTAGAAAAATGCTTGTTTTTTGCCCCTTTTTGGCCCCTTATTCCTAAAATTTGGAGGCAATTACCCCCAAAATCAATCCAACCATTCCCTTTGTGATATGGAACCTTGTGATACAATATCAGAGAGATTCTTACACTTACACACAAGTTATTGTCCTGAAACTAGAAAAATGCTTGTTTTTTTCCCTTTTTGGCCCCTAATTCCTAAAATTTTGAGGCAATTACCCCCAAAATCAATCCCAGCATTCCCTTTGTGATATGGAACCTTGTGGTACAATGTCAGAGAGATCCATACACTTACACATAAGTTATGTCTGGAAGTTACAAAAATGCTTATTTTTGGCCCCTTTTTGGCCCCTAATTCCTTAACTGTTGGTACCATAACCCCCAAAATCAATCCCCACTTTCTTTTTGTGGTATTGAACCTTATTGTAAAATTTCATAGAGATCCATTCACTTAAACTAAAGTTAGAGTGCGAAAACTAATGTGTCTTCGGACGAAGACGCCGGACGACGACGACGACGCCAACGTCATACCAATATACGACCACAAAAATTTTTTTGCGGTCGTATAAAAAGTAAATAAATGATTTACATACACATTTTTCATACTAAAGTATAATGTCATACTTAAGAAGCAATATTCAACTACCCAGAATTTTTCTCAGATATGTTTAATTTTCACTAAATTTTCATTTTCATATATAGTAAAACAAATCGTGGACAAATTTTCAAAAAGAAAATTTGTCCACGATTTGTTTTACTATATATTAAAAATGCAAAGGAGAAAACTATCAACAAAAATTATAAACTCATTTAACATTTCATTACCCCTTTTTACCCTGTAATTGCGAATTGAAGCTGAGGTCAAAATAACCTCATAAACCGTAATTGCAAATATAGGGAATGCAGGGAATATGGCACTCTATTTTTGGATTTACATTCTTTTGGGATATATTTATTATTGATATGCAATTCAACTTATGCACATTAAATTCTATTTTCTAGCAAATGAACCATGAAAATACATAACATGAAATTTCTAAAACCTACATAAAACTTTCAAAGACAATCATCAACAAATTAACAACAATTTTAACTTTAAAATGTATATAAAATATGGCAAATGGAGTTAATAGCACCTTTGTTATATAAACTAGGTAATTTTGTAATTATCATTCTAACTAGAATCTGTTTCTGATTATACACTTGCCTCAGAGCTCACAAAGTTTGCTTAAAAGGACACATAATTCAAACTATTTAGCTTATATCATCTAAAATAAGTTAATTCTAAAAACTAAATACAATAAATCTAACAATTAAGATTATATTCAAATACTGTAGGCTCATTTATTTTCTGTGACCATCTGTTTTTTGTCGACTGGGGAACAAAAAATGGTACTTGATTAACCCAAATAATTCAGTCCCTCCCAGTGATCTACTCTCCCACTTGCGAGGGCCGAAACTCTTTACACGATAAAAACGTGTCACGAATCAAGGATTTCGATTAGTGCTCTTTGGGTTAGAGAGCCAATTAGTTGAAAGCTTAATGTTTTTATCAAGATAGGTAAATCAAGAGCTAATTCAAAATGACTGACAATTTCCATTGACTAGGCCTTCAGACATTAATGCAGCCATCGTAGAGTAGTGGACTGTAATTACTGAATTATTCGTGTTAGTACTAAATTAAATTATCCTAACTTGTGTGGTAACATCATTCTTATTGTCAAGGAGTCTGATATTTTTTTAAAGGTGAATCAATATTAATTTTTAGCCATATCAGGTTTTTTCTCAGGGTGACTCTCCTTTTTCTTGACAAATTACAAGAGCTTTCAAAAGTTGGCATTGACAGTAGATTTCCACTGACTACATACTTTACTCAAATAACCCCTCATTCAGATTATCAAAGAACACAATAAGTATGCAGGTAGCCATCTAATTTGACAGCTTGCAGCTGCTACCTCAAACTTATCGTAATTAAGCCCTAGGTGAAGACGAAACGTGCGTCTGGCGTATTAAATTATAATCCTGGTACCTTTGATAATTATTTAAGATGACTGGAATCAATTATTCTCTCTCGCATTTTCATTAATTACTCGAATAACTTTTTTAGAATCCAGGTATAGGGATTCACTTTAAAATATTTCGACCACAAAGGGCCCATAAAGCTCTAACCCTTTTAACATATGTATAACATACAACCTCTTAGAATTAAATATGCAATATTTATATAAAATAAAAAAACAATAAAAAAAAATTATTTGGCCCCTTGTTCATATCCAAGGCAAAACACTGGTTATAAAGGCACAGGTTAAATTTTATAAAAAAAAAACTGACAAGCAAAATACTAATAAATCAACAAATACAATGTATATTTTTTCCTTACAAAATGATGTACACATCATTTACATCTTTATATTACTAAGCACCTTTAAGTGGAATGGAATGAAAAATTGAACTCTAGAGCACATAACATTTACTTTAATATCGAGAAAAAAAAGAAAAAAAAACACAGTAAAAAGTAAATTTTTCTATACTTCTGTTTATCATTCAATAGTGGTCCACAAAACTTAAGGATCATGTTTTGGCATGGATAACCCGAAAAATAATTTGGTAAAATATTGATATATCAGTTGCACAACTAAATGTCTCTCTGTAGTGTTTTGTGAATTTGTTCTTCTTTTCGTATTTTTCAGGGGTTTTTTGCCAAGGTATTGTCAAGTGTTTCTTAGACTTATGAGTTTTAAATATCCCCTTGGTATCTTTTGCCTTTGTTTTATGTCCAATTGAAGATTCTGTACAACTTTAGTTGAAATCTGTCAAGCCATTTTCAAAGAGATGCCAATTAACAAAGTGTGACTCCAACAACTACAGAAGAGATCACTATAAGTACTACAGCTTTGCTGGCAGACGACACAAAAATAAATGGTACCATTTTTGGTTAGGGCTTTTCCATAAAAAAAAAGGTGTGAAAGGGTAGGAAAGGACTTTCAAAGTCTCCCAAAAACATTATTTCTTTGTGTAATTTTGCATACATCAATCAACCATAAATGCTCCACAATTCGTGTCAATAAATAAAAGATCCCTTCCCACCCTCCCTCAAACATTTTAATGGAATATTCCATAGTATTGATGTAATTGTTCTTTTGGTCTACATTTCAATTATTCATTCCATTGAGGTAAAATTTCATAAAATTTAATTCTTTTAAAATCACATATTGTTACAGTATTTTTATATGGGGATACCTTTTCTTATTTTGAAGCCTTTTCAGCCTCCTTATCTACATTATCATCATCTGTTTTCCTTTAAACAAAAAACATTTGTTTCCATGGTTTAAATTCCCATTTTCAGACTCTCCTTATATCAAACTCAAAACATGTCTTATTTTTTTTTGTACAAAACAAAACAAAACCAGACCTTCCATAAAACTGGTACCCCATATAATAATAATACTTGAAGCAAAAATAGTCATTTAAATTGATTGTACAGTTGGCTCATAGTTCATCTTTGACATGGTTGTATTTCTCCTTCCTGGCCTGGATAAATGAAGGATGATTTCTTACATGGTCTGCTGCCTTAGAAACCAGTCTCATAAACTCTGACACATCAAATTCATAGTTTGTAAACTTTGCATGGGCACCTAAGGTAGGATGATGACCCTAAAAAAAGATAAGAGATTAAATCTTAGTTAACCTAAGTCTTTAATAAAATGTATCAATCATTACAGTAGTTCAATCTTGTGGTTTTTTTCTTATTCCTTTTACATATCATTTCTACGTTAACCATGTTTACAAAAAATATAAATTAAATGGAATGTTATAAAAATGATGACAAGGGAGATAACTCCATCATCTCCAGTGAATTTCTTTGTAACTTTCTAGTAAATTTTCTTCCATAAAAAGGCAGTACGAGAAGAATCATTACATGATTTCTACCCTTCAGTCAGTTTATTAACAAGATGAAATATTTAATTTTTGTAAGCTTCATTCCTACGAATCACCTTTTTTTAAATTGCATAATTGCTAAATTGAGTTATACATGATTATGGTGAAAAATCAGTCTAAGTTCTGTTTATAGAATAATTTTACAAATTGTAATTTTGTTTCTGATTCTGACTGAGAACCTTTTTATCAGAAACAATAATATGTTTACCTGAAATAATTAGCTAAGTATTCAAAACACTATTTTTTATTGTCAACATATACTATTAAAACAGTCTGCTGACAGTTTTTAAAAAACCCTCTTAATTGCTGCTGTAACCTTGACAATTGACCATATAACAGTGATTGAGAGACTTGTAAAGATTTGTAAAGATTTGATATATGATTCAAAATATACTGTCCTTTAAAAAAACATTTTTTTCCAAAATTTCAGTCAAAGTACTGTCATCTTGACCATTGACCTAAAAATCAATATTGGAGAAAAAAGTGTTTCTCAAGCCAATTAAAGCAACTATCATCTTCAATACTGTAGTCTTGGTAATTTATACCTCATCTTCTTGAATCAGTTTGTCCTTTTTCTCCCATGTCATGTATTTCACACCTCTTAGTCTTGCTAAGTCACTGTAACATCCATCATCCTCACAATTGTATCTAAAATAAATTATTTATTAGGATTCCATCATTTGATTAGCAGACAACAATCAGATGGTGTTCCAAAGTGACATTTCATGTCCCAATAAAATGCAATATTCATGACTACACATGGTTTCCATGACAACCTAACAAAGAATGTGCAAGAGTATTAAAAGTGAAACAAACAATATTTCCTGGTTTTGGAAATAACTAGAGGCTCTCAAGAGCCTGTGTCGCTCACCTGATTCTACTTTGGTTTTGGAAATCATGTAAAAATAGATTAAAATCATAACAGATACCCTAATAATGAGTGAGGCCAAATTTGGTTTAATATTGGTCCTGTAATTTAATAAAAAAATCCTGGTGGCCATCTTGAACAGTAAATCAGCAACAAAGTAGCAACACTTAATCAGCACGTCATAAGAAACATTTATGCCATGTTTTGGTTTCATTCCATTCAGTGCACCTCTAGAAGAAGCATTTGTATGTATTTGCCATAGGGTCTTATGTTAAAGGAAGTCCCCCCATTGGCGGCCATCATGGATGAAGGATCAGCTTCAAAGTAACAAAACTTAGTCAGCACCTCATAAGGAACATTCATGCCATGTTTGGTTTCAATCCATTCAGTATGTGGTTCTCTAAAAGAAGACATTTGTATGTATTGTCCATAGGGTCCTTTGTTAAACATTGTCCACATCTGGCAGCCATCATGGATGAAGGATCAGCTTCAAAGTAACAACACTTGGTCAGCACCTCAAAAGGAACATGCATGCCATGTTTGGTTTCATTCCATTCAATGGTTCTCTAAAAGAAAACATTTGTACGTATTTCTCATAGGGTCCTATGTTAAACTAAGCCCTCCGCTGGCGGCCATCTTAGATTATGGATCGGCTTCATAGTAACAACACTTGATCAGCACCTCATAAGGAACATTCATGCCATGTTTGGTTTCATTGCATTCAGTGGTTCTCTAAAAGAAGACATTTGTATGTATTTCCCATAGGGTCCTATGTTAAACTAAGTCCCCCGCTGGCTGCCATCTTGGATGATGGATCAGCTTCAAAGTAACAACACTTGGTCAGCACCTCATAAGGAACATTCTTGCCATGTTTGGTTTCATTCCATTCAGTGGTTCTCTAAAAGAAGACGTTTGTATGTATTTCCCATAGGGTCCCATGTTAAACTAAGTCCCCCGCTGGCGGCCATCTTGGATTATGGATCAGCTTCAAAGTAACAACACTCGGTCAGCACATCATAAGAAACATTCATGCCATGTTTGGTTTCATTCCATTCAGTGGTTCTCTAAAAGAAGACATCTGTATGTATTTCCCATAGGGTCCAATGTTAAACTAAGTCCCCTGCTGGCGGCCATCTTGGATTATGGATCAGCTTCATAGTAACAACACTTGGTCAGCACCTCATAAGGAACATTCATGCCATGTTTGCTTTTATTCCATTCAGTGGTTCTCTAAAAGAAGACATTTGTATGTATTTCCCATAGGGTCCCATGTTAAACTAAGTCCCCCGCTGGCGGCCATCATGGATTATGGATCGGCTTCAAAGTAACAACACTCTGTCAGCACCTCATAAGGAACATTCATACCGTGATTGGTTTTATTCCATTCAGTGGTTCTCTAAAAGAAGACATTTGTATGTATTTCCCATAGGGTCCTATGTTAAACTAAGTCCCCTGCTGGCGGCCATCTTGGATGATGGATCCGCTACAAAGTAACAACACTCGGTCAGCACCTCATAAGAAACATTCATGCCATGTTTGGTTTCATTCCATTCAGTGGTTCTCTAAAAGAAGACATTTGTATGCATTTCCCATAGGGTCCTATGTTAAACGAAGTCCCCCGCTGGCGGCCATCTTGGATGATGGATCCGCTACAAAGTAACAACACTTGGTCAGCACCTCATAAGGAACATTCATGCCATGTTTGGTTTCATTCCATTCAGTGGTTCTCTAGAAGAAGTTCAAAATGTAAAAAGTTAACGCCGACGCCGGACGACGACGGACGCCAAGTGAGCTAAAAATGTAGTAATAAGAATTTAATACTTCTTTGTTTTGTAGTTTTATAGAGATTTAAAAGAGTTGAACATGTACACCTAAGATGTGTGAAGTGCAGAATACTAAATGTGATATAACTTGGGAAAACTGGAAATCATACTCAATTAAGATTTGAATTGAATACACCTTTTCATCAGCAGGATTTGAACTTACAACCTCAGTACCAACTGGCTAGCGATCACTGAAGATGAACTACTTAGACCATTAATCCCCTAAGGTCCACAGTAATTTCTAAGCTGGTATATATGAACCCTCCACCATGAACACCATATTCGTAATATGAACAAAAAAATTCCATCACAGTTCAATTCTGATTACCAGTAAAATGGCATAAAAAAAAATAAAAAAACATGCATAATATACTTACATTTCCATGACAACACCCCAGTCTGGTTGGAAGAGGGCATGTGTTAGCCCTGCACCATGAATACCAATAAATATATCACTGTTATGTGAAACCTGTTAGGAGAAAAATGTAAACTTAGTCTTTGAGAACATGGTTTATTTATTAGTTATAATTTAGCTTTGGAGTAGCATTCAATAACTGCTAGTACTCTTAAATAGGTACTTTGTGTCTTTTGTCTAAATTTCCATATAAGCAACACAACTTTGGTTTAACACAGATACTAATAAAATAGTTTTATGTATTGTGTAGTATGTGTCTTTAAGTAATTTGTGTTGTTTGGTTGTTGTCTCATTGTGCTACACCACATCTTCTTTTATTCATATATACTATTTTTAATTACAAATAAATAATTTACCTTAATCTGATCCAAGAATGATAAATCCCTGAAAAATAAAATGGGTATGAATTATTCTGGCAAAAGACACTATGAAATAACTATCTTATTACTAAATAAAATAACATCAATTTTTTTCTTATTACAACTAGTCAATGATTCTACTTTCACTAATTCTTGGTGTCTTACTTCTTACAACTTTTGATAATGTATATTTATTAATAGAATTTTAAATAACATGAATAATAAGCTGAAGTTAAGATCTATTAAATAATAAGCTGAAGTTAAGATCTATTAAATAATAAGCTGAAGTTAAGATCTATTAAATAATAAGCTGAAGCTAAGATTTATTAAATAATAAGCTGAAGTTAAGATCTATTAAATAATAAGCTGAAGTTAAGATTAAGGAGGTACAGCACACACAAAATTAGTGCATTTATACCATTCTATATGGATATTTAGCAAAGGCAATGCTGAGTTATTTAGTTGACTCAAAAAAATATATCTAAAATTGAGAATGGAAATGGGGAATATGTCAAAGAGATAACAACCCGACCAAAGAGCAGACAATAGCTGAAGGCCACCAATGGGTCTTCAACGCAGCGAGAAAATCCCGCACCCAGAGGTGGTCCTTAGCAGGCCCCTAAATAAAATTGTGTACTAGTTCAGTGAAATGTATGTTTATGTGCCAAACCCCCAAAAAACATACAAAAGGTGTTTCATTGTTTCAAAGTTTCGCGGGGTGTAGATTAACCCTGATTTAAAGTGTTTCATGATATATATATTTGCATAATTTTCATAAGTGCAAAATTAAGTACCCTCAAAAATTTTTACCCCAAAATTACTCTACATTTAATACTTACAGATTAAAGTCAACCTTTCTTACATCAAATTCACCTACAGTTTTCATGGCATTAACTAACTGTAAAGAAATATACAAAAAAAAGTAAATATACTGTGAGGCCATATAATAGTATGATATACTGTATTATGGCATAGGACCCTCGGTGACCGAGTGGTCTAAGTAGTCAAACTACTGTATCACTAGCCAGTCAACACTGAGGCTGTGAGTTCGAATCCCGCACGGGGCAGGTGCACTCGACTCCAATTTAATTGACTAGGACTGTCAGTTTTCCTACAGAAGATCAGTGGTTCTCTCTGGGCACTCTTGACTTCCTCCACAAATAAAAACTGATCGCCACGAAATAGCTCAATAGTGTTGAAAGTGGCGTTAAACACCAATCAATCAATTATGGCATAACTGGTATAACTGTATCATGGCATTGTGATGCTCTACCTATAGCCTTGTCTAGATATGAACTATTTCAGAGAGTCTTACATTTCATTTTAAATTATAATTTGATAGAAGCAGAGATGCTATGCTCAACAAAACTAAAAGGGGAAATCATTGAATCATTCAATTTCTTTGTATTGTGGATTCATTTATTTTTTGTGGATACCAATTTTTGAGGATTGAGAAAAAATTGTATTTCTTTTACCTAATATTTGATTGTCATGGTTTTTAGTTACGTTTATAGGTAATTTTTGTTTTTAATAATTATTAAATTACTCAATAGAGTTATTTTAAATTTCAATAAAAGCATGGACTGAATCTAGTTGTCATGATTTTTTACATCATTTTATTACATAAAACTAATAATTTATCGAATTTGAGAGGACAATAGAGGTAAAAGGTTACTTTAAGAATAATGACAAAAATATTACTTGAATAAGTCATTTTATAAATCTGTGAAAGAATTAGTGATTACAATTATTTAAGGAACATATGTAATTGTTTTTGGGTTACAAAATATAAATAACTTCAAGTCTTAATCAAATCACAAGTTTCTAGCTATTTATATCTATCTACCTTCAAGATTTTCAAGGAAAATGATATTCTAATAGTCCTAAGAGACCAATCTTTGACCCAGAAGCAATGATATAAAAGATAAGTGCGTCAGAAAGGCAATTAGTGTTTCAGGATAATTAGTTTTTATATTTCATGAGAAAAGTAACCAGATGACTGTGAAAATTTGTTAAAGCTAGTAAAATCTGTATGAATGAACACCTATAAAAATAATATTTACAAAAGTTACTTATATAAGTAATATTTAAAATAGCCTTGTTTTCAACATTACTAGTATATATAGGTAATTTCAAAAGATACTTGGGATTGGCCCTGACTGTATACCAATGAAATCCATAAAATTTAGTATCCCCAAATAATATGTATCCATAGTAATACAGAATACCAAAAGCAGAAATGGGTAAAAAATGGGATAAAATCACCTATCAAATTGTAATTATTTATAGTAATACAACTGGTTAGTTCGAAGTACTGGTACACCGCAATAAAGAGCTATGGTAATTGTATGGTAAGAAGATGTAAAATTATCAATTAAAATACGTTATTCATTTCATCTATATTAACATGGATATTTAAAGAAACACTTTCAAAACTACTTAAAAAACAACATATTGCTATATTCCTGGCTGCTCAAGCAAAGGGAAATAAGTCATACTGTCAAAGTGTTGATTGGGGAGTAATTTTTGCAATTTTGCATTTTCTTGTCCCTCATTAGGACATACCTTAAAGAATATATTTTCAGGAGGCAATATTTTAACAATTTTTTTTTAATCTACAGATAAAAAAAAAGATTAATCAAATGCAAAAATTCTGTAAAAAGGTATATTTTATCAAAGTTAAAAAAAAAGTTTAACTCACCTGCACCTCATTTAGAATCTTCCTGTATTTTGTACTTCTTGATAAGAGAGTAACTCTTATTTTCTCTTCCTGTAGAAAAAAAGGAAATGTCAATGTATTGTTGCTGCATCCATGCCGTTTATTTGCAGGTTTTGTATGGTCAAAATAGATTATAGCTAGATACAATTTATTAAACTACTGTGGATTCTCGTGGGATACCAATTTTCACGGATTTCTCATGTGAAGAGGCATTACCAATTTAAATGTTAAAAGAAGTAAAACTTTCTATAGGCTTGAATGCAGACTTTGGCAAAACCACAAAATCAAATATCCACAAAAATACAATTTTTCCTCAATCCATGAAAATTGGTACCCACGAAAATAAATGAATCCACAGTGAGCATAAAGACCACAATAAGGTGAGTGCAAAACAGTATCCTATGTTTGTCCACAGAAAGAGAGAAAAAATCCATAAGTCTAAGTGCTAAAAAACTTATTTAATCAAGCAAAATGTGGATGATTGAAGGCAGGAACCTTATCAATGGTTGTTTTCAGTTCTATATTTTAAGTGTTTTTGTCCTTTTGAAAAAGGATGTCAACAACAGACTCTGTAAGATTTATTCAATACTCATGGTTATCTTCATAGTTACACTTGCTGAATGTTGTAGAACGCTTGTTGACATCTATATTTTTTTTCTTGTTTTATGGTTGCTGTCTTTTTATGTATCACACATATTTCTTTTATTCATTTATATTTTTCCTAACAGAATGTAAACAAAACAAGTGAATCTGTGAGCTACTGCTCGCTAATGATACACCCACCCCGCTAAAAGTATAAGGTAAACAGAAAGTTGTTGAGTGATGAATCTGAAAATGCATCACATGGTATAGCTGACTAATATAAACCCTGAAACCAAATTTCAGAAATCCTTGTTATGTAGTTCCTGAGAAAGATGCGACGATAAAATATGGGACGGACTGACGGAGGATTGAAGGATGGACGGACAGACAGAGGTAAAACAGTATACCCCCACTTTTTAAAGCGGGGTATAATGATAATTTCAACTGACTTTAAAACTTAATGTTTTACTTACTTTACTTTTCATGTCGTTACATTTGAACATATGAGCCAACCAAGATGACAATTTATAATATGGTGGGTTCATTTATTTATTTATTTAACACGCTCAAGGTTAGATATTTGATGTTAGGGGTCTATGCTCATTCCCGACCACAATATGCATGAAATATTTGCCACTGGCTGTTGAAGCAAACAACAATAAATTAATCAATGCTTATGCAAACATGAAATTTTTTTTTCAAAATGACCATTTATTTTTCTTTCAAAATGACCAAGCACATATAAAGAGAGAATATAATTTTTTCATACTTACCAAGGGACCCTCTTGTTGGACATTTAGTCTATGCATGAGATGCTGATTAAATGCTCTGAAAAAACTGCTACTATGACAACCAGGAATCTATATAAGTGTAAAGGAAAATTTGCCAAACACACATCACATTAAGCATAAATTAAAATTTATACTAAATAACACTCCAAACTCTTAAAAATGCATATAAGTTTTCATCAGTAGAAGTCTCATTTTTTTATTATAAAAAGTTTACTAGTACATATGTACAAGGAACATATAGTGAAACTTGATTGACCAATTTAAATGAAGCCTCTTCTGTGTTAAAATTTTCTCAGAAATCAATTTTTGCATATATTTTTCATGAAAAGACCTTTAAAAGTTGGAATTAATGACCTTCACTTTAGATCTACATTATTGAAAACATCATTTTTTTACAGGAAACAAGATCAATACTATGTCTGGACCTGTGACACAGCATGCAAGTGATTATTATCATGTATACTGAATCATAACTGATCATTCCCTAAAATCATTAAAGCCAAGAAAACTTAGATGAGAATTTTCCTGGTAAAACTATTGGCAAACAGGAAGTGGTGGCACAATGTACTATTTTAAAATTGCTTACATGCTAAACCTTAACATTATCAAGCTGCAGACCAAAAACAAAATCATTCCCTTCCAAAAAAGCCAAGAAAAGTTTGAAGAAAATTTTCCTTGTACTTTAAGTTTGTAAAATTTTAAAATATCGGCAAAAACAGTAAGAAGCTAAACTACAATTCAACACTATCAAACTGCAGACCAAATATAATGCTCCACTAGGCACAAGCTTAATACGACAGCAGAGGTCCAACCCTGAACAGTTGAGGCAAGTATGGACACAACATTTCAGCTTAAAACAGCTCTGAATTTGGATTGTGATTGAATATTTGACACAGCATAGGTTTGTGACACAGCATAGGTTTGTGACACAAAATGAAGCTGGTCAAAGAACTGAAAAATTTGAAATTGGACATTTACCTATTATGGTCCAATATCCAAAATCTAAGTACATGGTTAGAATCAGCATATCAAAGAACCCCAAGAATTCAATTTTGATGAAATCAAACAAAAGTTTAATTTAGGACCCTTTGGACCTCAATGTGGACCAATTTGATAAAGGAGCCCAAAATCCAAAATCTAAATACATGTTTAGATTCAGCATTTCAAAGAACCCCATCAATTCAATTTTTGTTGAAATCAAACAAAGTTTAATTTTGGACCCTTTTTTGGACTTGAAAACTGGGCCCAAAAATACAAAATTTAAATACAGGTTTAGATTCAGCATTTCAAAGAACCCAATATATATTCAATTTATGTTGAAATCCAAAACACTTTAATTTTGGACCCCAATTTGGACAAACTTGAAAACTGGGCCCAAAATCAAAATTCTAAATACATCTTTATTAATAATGATAATAATAATAATAATAATAATTCTTTATTTAAAGAGGGTTACACAGTTAGCTATAAAACTAATCTTCCCTGAGGCCCTCATGAATTACAATGAAATATAACAAACAATTACAAAATATCAAACAAACACACATATATGAAAAAATGAAATAAAAAATTGTTATGAAATATACAATTTTCAAAACAGGTAAAAATTACAAATTCATATAGTATTGGCATCATTCAAATTACCTCAACAATATCTTAAGTTTGAGTAAGTGTGTGAAAAATTATTATACATATAAAATTACACAGCTTCTTAGATTAATGTTCCAACAAGTAATTTTTTAAATCTTTTTTGAATGAGCTTGTACTTGAGGTTGATTTTTTCAGGGATGTTGGTAAGTTATTCCATAAAATAGATCCTGAGTATACAAAAGATTTCTTATACAGCTCTGTTTTGGCTTTTGGAACTTGTAAATTTTTGCAAGACGCATTCCTCAAACAATATTGGTTTATTTCTGGCATTTCTTTAAATTTTTCAGTGAGATATACAGGGGCTTCGTTCTTAAGGCATTTCTGCATCAGAACAGATTTGTGGTATGAGATTCTGTTCTCTACTGTCATCCACCCAAGCTGTTTAAACAGTGGAGCTGATGATGAAAGTGGATCAGCATCTAAAATAAGTCTTGCAGCCCTTTTCTGCAATTTTATTATTCTGACTAGCTCATTTTTAGCACAACCACTCCAAATAATACAACAATAATCTATCAGTGGGAGAATATAGCCATTATAAAACAATTTTCTTGAATCAATATTTAGAAATTTCTTGATTTTAGAGAGTAAATGAAGTCTGGATGATATTGATGAACATAAGTAATTAACATGGCCTGTCCAGGACAGATTAGAGTCAATTCTAACACCTAAAAGTTTTTCAATTGATGATTTTTGAAGAATATTATTCTCAATAGTTAGAACTGGTTCTGCTTGATTTAAACACAGCCTTTTTCTTGTACCTATAACCATACATTTAGTCTTATCTGAATTCATGAACATGTTATTTTTATGACACCATTTTTCAACACATTGAAGATCATCATGTAATAGACAATATAAGCTTAGTTTTTATAAAGGAGTTTGCTTCATCAAAAAAAAAATATATATAGCATTCAGAAAATTAGTTTATACAGAATAACAAACCTACCACAAAATTCTTCAAACAATTTACCAAAGAAAAGATTTTTTTTTCCAAAATATCATTTATCATTAATACACTTTAAACAAGAGGCAGTCAGAGTGACAGCAAACCGGATTTTCCTGCAGAGGTCAAACCCTGAACAGTTGAGCAAGTATGGACACTACATTTAAGCTTAAAACAGCTCTGAATTTGGATTGTGATTGAATATTTGACACAGCATAGGTTTGTGACACAAAATGAATGTGGTTTAAGAACTGAAATACTTGAAATTGGACATTTAAATACCTATTATGGTCCAATATCAAAAATCTAAGTACATATTAGAATCAGCATATCAAAGAACCCCAAGAATTCAATTTTTGATGAAATCAGACAAAAGTTTAATTTAAGAGCCTTTGGACCTCAATGTGGACCAATTTGATAAAGGAGCCCACAATCCAAAATCTCTCAATACATGGTTAGATTCAGCATTTCAAAGAACCCCATCAATTATTTTTTTGTTGAATCAAACAAAGTTTAATTTTGGACCCTGATTTGGACCAACTTGAAAACTGGGCCCAAAAATCTAATATTTAAATACAGGTTTAGATTCAGCATTTGAAAAAACCCTTTATATATTTAATTTATTTTGAAATGAAACACAGGTTAATTTTATCCGTAATATTTTCTGTGCAAAGGGAAATAACTCAAACTGGATATGATTCAATTTTTCAAATTATAATCAATAATATAATAACAACAACCAGTGATGACTAAGTTCTCTAAAATTAGATATGATTTAACACTCAAACATTGTTAGAATCAGCATATCAAAGAACCAAAGAATTCAATTTTTGATGAAATTAATCAAAAGTGTAATTTAGGACCCTTTGGACCTCAATGTGGTATTATCTTATTAATAATGAAAAGAAATACAGGTTTAGATTAAGCATTTCAAAGAACCCTATATATATTCAATTTACGTTGAAATCAAACACAGTTTAATTTTGGACCCCAATTTGGACCAACTTGAAAAGTGGGCCCAAATTCAGAAATCTAAATATATGTTTATTAATAGACAATATAAGCTTAGTTTTTAAAGGAGTTTACTTCATCAAAAAAAAATATATAGCATTCAGAAAATTAGTTTTTACAGAATAACAAACAAACTTGCCACAAAATTCTACAAACAATTTACCAAAGAAAAGAAGAAAAAAATCCAAAATTTTATTTATCATTAATACAATGTCATTTCAAAATCTATAAAACTTATCAGTAACAAGAAATAATTGTAACAGAATGCTGTTATGAAGTCTCCCAAACAAAGCTCCAATAATTCGTCATTCCCATTGTCGCTTGACATTGGGCAATGTCCAGTACAAATTTGTTTATGATATGCATTAGTGACGCCTATGGATATGCCCTGTATGTCATTCAAATCTTCTTGAAATTACGAACAGGAATTTATATGGTTAAGGGGTGGAGATCTCGACTGTTTACAAGATCTCAAAAGGGGGGTGATCCCCAGGGGACGCTCCCTTTATTTCATATGATTTGTTTTTTTGTCCCGTACAAGAAAATATATGGTTAAGGGGTGGGGATCTCGACCATTTACAAGTTCTTAAAAAGGAGGGGGTGGGGGGTGACCCCAGGGGACTCACCTTATATTTCATTTGATTTTTTTTATGGTCCCATACAAGAATATATATGGTTTCGGCGTGGGGATCTTGACCGATTACAAGTTTTCAAAAAGAAGGGGGGGTGGGGGTTACCCCTGGGGATTTCCCCTTAATTTCATTTGTTTTGTTTTATTGTCCCATTCAAGAATATATATGGTTTAGGGGTGGGGATCTAGACCATTTACAAGTTTTCAAAAAGAAGGGGGGTGGGGGTGACCCCCATGGACTTCCCCTATATTTCATTTGATTTGTTTTATTGTCGAATACAAGAATATATATGGTTTATGGGTGGGGATCTTGACCGTTTACAAGTTTTCAAAAAGAAAGGGGGTGGGGGTGACTCCCATGGACTTCCCCTATATTTCATTTGATTTGTGATATTTGTCCCATACAAGAATATATATGGTTTAGGGGAGGGGATCTTGACCGTTTACAAGTTTTCAAAAAAAAAAAAGGGGGGGGGGGGGGGTGACCCCAGGGGACTCCCCCTCAATTTCATCTGATTTGTTTTATTGTCTCATTCAAGAATACAATATATGGTTTAGGGGTGGGGATCTCAACTGTTTACAAGTTATCAAAAAGAAGAGGGGGTGGGGTGACCCCAGGGGACTCGCCTTTTATTTCATTTGATTTGTTTTATTGTCCTTTACAAGAATATATATGGTTTCTGGGTGGGGATCTTGACCGTTTACAAGTTTTCAAAAAAAACGGGGGTGGTGGTGACCCCAGGGGACTTCCCTCAATTTTATTTGGTTTGTTTTATTGTCCCATTCAAGAATACATATGTTTTAGGGGTGGGGATCTCGCCTGTTTACAAGTTA